GTCGCGCAGCCGGCTCCGGCTTCAGGAACGGCTCGGTGGTGCCCCACCAGTTCATGATATCGCTTTACCGGAGCTTGGCCGGGAGGACTCCGGACGGGGCAGCTGCCGCCTCCACCTCGGGTTCTGGGCGCCACGGCCGCGCGGACACAATCACCGGCTTCGCAGACCAGGCGACCCAAGGTACTCACGCCTATACTGCGCCCGTCCATCCTAACCGCTCCTGGGTGGAGGCCACCGCCTGAGCTGTGCCCCAGCTCCATTCCATTTGGGGCGCGGCCCCCGTCCCAGCCTCAGATATTAGAAACTTCACCGAGGCCCACGCACCGGAACCCGCCGCGCCTGGACTGTGGCGAGACCCGCGGCAGCTCGCGGGGCCCGGCCCCAGAGGCCTGAGCAGGTCCCTCTGCGGGGGTCGCCTTGGTCCTGCGGCCGGCGGGTCCCCTTGAGGAGGAGACAGGTTGAGTCGGAGATCCGGAGGAGCAAGAGGAAGGGTTTCGGCCGAGAGAGGCTGCTCAGTGGTAGTGGCGGTCGCTGCTTTTTTGCAGCAATCTCGTGGCGGTCGTACAAATTGGGGACACGCAGAGACATGCAAGACACAGGCAGGCATCAGACTAAATCATATGGCCCCAGAGAGGCTGGTGGCATCACCAGATAGGAAGAGGGCTCTTCTCAGCAGGCCGCGTCAGGGTGCAGGTGTGTAGCTATGGTTGTCCATGCCTTATGCAGGGACCTTGGCAGAGCCGGAGGTCGTCGACGGGTTGTGTGGGGAGGAGAGCAGGGCCGGCGACGGTCCAGGAATGCAGGCCTCTCCCGGGTAAGCACCCCACCTTACTCTGGGCCAGGCCCTCCAAAGGTAGGACGTGGATGAGGCCACGGTGATTGCTGTGTCATCTGGATTTTATTAATCTCTATTGAAGTCATTAAAGCAGACAGATAGAGAAGATTTAACTAATTTCAGGAGGAAATGCAAGTAATTTCGGCCTTAATTCTATCCAGCCAGAGACCAAGCATCCAAAGCAGGAGAGAAAGGAAGGCAAATGGGGCTGGAAAGCAAGAACTGCTGTAGATGGGCCCTGCCTGAGAGCAGGGACCAAATCACCCACTCCATCTAACACACACACACACACACACACACACAGAGCTTTATTTTGGGTACAGGGACATCCTGCACTCAAATGGCCCGATAGTCTGTTGGGAACTTTCAAGCATTCTCTGAGGGCCTTGCTTGCCCCCTGGACTGGATACTGGGGTGCTCAGTATCCTGCTGTCTAGTCCCAGGGAAGGCCCCTGCCCTAATGTTGCTGTGCCGGCTGCCAGGCTATGAGAGCTGGTGTGTGCAGGGCCCTCGGCTGGGAGAGGCACCAGATGCTCTTTCTTTGGTTGAGTTAGACCTACTGTAGCCTCAACCAGAGCTGACTCCTTTCCTGGGACACTCCACTTGGCTGACAAGGCTAGTAAGGCTACCTGTCTTTCCTCTGGAGGGAGGGAACGTGGTGGCAGCCCCCTGAAGCAGGGAGAAGCTGAGGGGAAGCTCAGAGAAAGTGCTCCAGTTAGCAAGCCTTCAGGAAGAAAGCAGTGGAGGGGGAACACTTGCCCATTGCCTCTCCTGCCTCCCTCTCCACCCTGAGCCTCAACTTGGAGTAAGGCTGCTTGAGGTCCCCAGAGGCCACCGTCAGGGCCCAGACTTCAGACCTCAAGAGCCAAGGGCCTGGCGTCCCCGGTTGGCGAGCAAATCTCCAATGGTGGGGGGAGTCTGCATAGTCTCTCCGCATTTGGGGCAAAACGAAACCATATGACCCTCTTCAAAGGGAGCTCCTTATCTGTTGCTTGGTGGAATTTCAACCTCTTTTTTTTTTTTTCCTGAGCCCCAAAAGAAAAAAGTGCACACGACCAGAAATAAAATCCGAGGGCTCGAGATAAGTGATAACAGCGGGAAAGGATAAGTCTGGGAAGGGACCGCCGGTCCTGGAGGCTAGACCTCGCTGGGCCCACTGCCCTCACCGCAGCAAGGCGCTCACCGCCGCTCCAACCCCTAACGAAAACGTCTCTTGCGCTTCTTTGCCGCCTTTCTCCCTCCATCGGGAGGTCAAGGACTCACTGGGAGAAGCTGAGCCTGGAGTTCCTGATCGTGACCCGCTGCTCTCATTGCTCTGAGACCTTGGGCCAGGCCGGGCCCCAGTTCCGCTTCAGCAAAGCGAGGAGGCTGGACGCGCTAGAGGATCTCAAGTCATGCTGACAAGTTCCCCTACTGGACGAATCTAGGGTCCCCAGCCTGCATGGGAGCCCGCGGCCGGCTGGAATGTCCAGGCTGGGATGGGGAAGATAGGGAGCAGAGGAGCAGAGTTTTCGGGGGACGAGAATTTTCTCTTTCGCACAACGGACACTCCGCGGATCTCCTGGGACTCAATAGGGCAATAAAGAGCAGTCCGCGTATAGCGCGGGACCTCGGGCAGACAGTCGGCCTTGGAAGGGGCGCACTAACCTCTGATGCGCCGACTGGGCCTCTGTCCGCGGACCTAGTCCCGGCAAACCCGTGGCTCTGAGGCGGGAAGCACAACTGCAGTGGCCTTCAGCCTTGGTCTCGCCTGCAGGGGTGCGCTCCTGGCCCCCGGCTCAGCGATAAGTGAATGTTGTCGCAGTGGCAGGACTTTTCGGCTGGATGAGCCAAAGGCCCGGTTCTGATAGCCGGGGTGAAGGCTCCCTTTCCTCTGGGCCAGGCTGGCAGCTGTCCTTCCGGGGCCCAGACGCGGGGATGGGCGCCAGCTCCAGCGGGCCTTAGTCCCGCATCCTGGAGGTCGGGCCATTTGCAGTTAGGAGGCCCTGCGGCCGGTAGCGCGCACTTAGTTCTTACTCGGCTCTTTCTCTCTGTCCGTCCCCTGCAGACGAGTCGGCAGCCGAGATCGGCCAGAGCTTCCTGTTCGACGTGTCCAGCCTTTCCGACGCTGACGAGGTGGTGGGCGCCGAGCTGCGCGTGCTGCGCCGCGAGTCTCCGGGGCCCGGCCCTGGAAACGCGGTGCC